AGAGCGGCGCCTTTTGAATGCACAGCCGCAGCAAACAATTCAGCACCTTGTCCCTTGGGTAACAACCTGCTGTGACTTATGTGGGTCCCAAACCTCCTGGATATGGACAATCCGGGCTCTACTGCGTTACATTTAAGAGGAGGTCTTGCAAGAGCGATCTGTTTGCATCACATCTAAACACACATGGCATTTTACATACATCCTCTGGTTTAGCACATGGGCAGGAAGGGAAGAGCCTGCTTCACTGACACCAGTTGCCATTTGGAGATCTTAGGTGAATTAAACCCTCTTCCCCCCAGCAAACTCAAGCAGTGTGAAGCCCAGGGCTCCAGTGAAATGCATGGCCATGCTACAAAGGTCTTTCTCTTATGCAGCTCATCCCTTGTAGGGAATCCCTTACTCTTTATGGTATAGGCTTGGTGACGGTAGCAAGATGCTGAAGTTACAAATGATTATTTTAGCTTTTGGGCTCAGGCCCAGATCCTCAGCATTATTCAAGTGTCTTGTTTCCACTGAAACCATGCCAGACATTAGCACCACCATCACCACCAGCACCTTTGGAGAAGACTGAGAGAGGTGTCTCGCCATGAAAGCTGCCCTTAGGGGCCTAAGTCAGCTGCATGGACAGATGTCAGGCTCCTAGTGGGACCGGCCCACGCTCCTCTGACCTGCTGCCCCTCCAGCTTTGTGCAGCCAGCTCAGCTCCCAGCAGTGAGGCGCAGCTCCTCTTCACAGGATTGGGGTTGCTCGGTGGGGGGCTGTTGCAGCCGGATGGTCTCTCTGCTCCCCCAGCTGGAGGCAGCGGCAACTTCAGCCGTTAGGGAGGAGGTGGTGCTGGCAGCTGGGAGGGAAATCGTGGGAGGGAAACACGCGGTAAGGGGCAGCGGCAGACAGGGGGAAAGCTGATGGCTCAGCTTTGTATCAAAGAAAGCTAATGGCTAACAGCTTTTTTTGCAGGCTTCCCCAGCAATAAGCACCCCAGGCCCCAGGCTGCTGCAAGGCTCTCCCTCTCCCTTAGCATGGGGTCCCTCCTAGCCCTCCTCACCCTCTCTGCCTTCGGCAAATGAATCTCAGGCTTCGCTCCCCTGCTCTCGCCAACCCTCCCAGGCCCCACTGTCCCCAGGAGCCCCAAACCACATCACCCTCCACCATCCTTTCCTCCCCAGCCACCTCTCTAGGCTCGTTGCCCGTTGTCACCATTCCCCATGCACAGTGGCTAATTCAGACCCTTGCCCCTTCCCAAGCCCTCACAGCCCCCGATTCTGCCCCCAAACTTGGCCATCCATGATGGGTTCAATAATAGGGTTGAACCTACACTGCTGGGTTCAATAATAGGCTCTAACTTTCCCCCGGTCTATTCCTACTTTCCCAGGAGCCCCAGGAGGGGAGCCCCCATCATATCCACTATGAAGAAATAATGCTTCGTGGATCTAGGTAGGTCTGTGCATCGATCCCCTGCTTCGCTCCGTCCGCAGGGTCCCTGCAGCCAGAGCAGGATGTTGCAAATATTGACACACATCTCCCCCTGATTCTCGAGGTCGGTGCTCCCCATGGGGAACCGCACCTTTGCAAGACAGAGTTATGCAGAAGCTTCTGTTATACGAGCCCGATTGCTTAGAAGCCGAATGAGGCAAGCCTTGGGCAATGTCTGTGGCTCAGCGTGAAGATGGCGTGGTAGCAGGAGTAAACCAAATGGAGATAATACCCTGAATGGAGGAATGTAGCAGTTAAAAGACCCCAGCAGAGGAGAAATGCTTGAGAAATATGGGGGACGATTGGAGAAGGTTTAGACCGTCCTTCGTGCTGGGTCTGCAAACGTGTGGTGGCAGCAAGAAAGAGAGGCAGGCAGAAGGCAGTTTCACGTCCGACAATCGGCACGTGACGTTTCACAATGTTTTCCAGCTAACGCAGGCAGAGGAGGGTTAGGGAAAATATCCGACAAAGTTGAGGGTTGCTTGCACAGGAGTGAACAAGGAGGAGCAAAAAAAAAAAAAAAAGATCAGTTCATCACAGATGTCAGGCTGAAGAGCCTGTCTCACAATTTGCAGGGGCTGAGTCTGATACGAGATCAGATTCTAACCAGAACCCGGGACAAAGCTGAGAGAGACCCCGAATTAACCCGTGACAAAGAGTGACTAAACAGAGGAAGTTTGCAGACAGCTGGGCAGTGGGTGCTGTGGACAAAATAGAGGAGAAGAGAGAGGTGGTTCACCTCTCTAGCCCTAGCAGAGGTTAAAATTGGAGCCGGCCAGGGCTGCAATTCTGCATGCGCAGCGCTAGGAGAGGAACCA